TTTCCTTCCTCTCTCTCTCTCTCTCTCTCTCCACCCTGGTAGCATACCTCCGCTGGAATCGGCCCGAGCATGGCGGGATGTGGGATGTGGGATATCTGTGTGTTCAAGCTCCCAATCCTTCTCTATCCCCGGCAGGAACAGGTTGCCTGCCCGCCCGCCTGCCTGCCTGCCTGCCTCGATCTACATGGCCCGGCTGGCTGGGAGATGGGGGATCGGGGGGGCCACAGTCGTCAATGTCGCACGGAGATTATGCTGCCACGTGCGCCGAACCGCCGCGGCAGTAACGTGTCATACCCAACAACAGCAAGTACACAGGAACATGAAATACATGCCTTGGTCCTTGGTGTCGGCTCGATCGATGGATGGATCGCGAAGCAATGCCACCCACACCCTCCTCCCGATCCTCCCAGCTCGCGAGCGAGCCCGTTACTGCATATGGCCTCTCCCTACCTACATATCCTTGATTGCTCCTTCCAAGGCCAGGAGCTGAACATGTCCTGTGCTGCGCCGTACCCTCGCCGTCATCATAGGAGGGAGGGGTTAGCAGAGACAGACAGGCAAGACTGGCTGCTCCTCCTTATTTGCCGTGATCCATTTTTGGCAGTGACAGGGCGTGGTGGAGATGGACGGGTGGGGAGGCTGGAGAGTACGAGGTGACATCAACTGTGGACGCCTACCCCCTCGTCCCTCGCAGGAGCCGAGGCCCGTTCTTGTCTCGATGTCTGCGGAGCCTGGTCCAAGTTCCTGTACCGTCTGTTGGATCGAGGTGGAGTTCTTTTGTCTTGCTTTTTTTTTGTTCTTGGGCAAACAGCAAGGAGAGCTGGGGACACGGAAAAGAGGGATAAATCGGCCCGCAAGGCTACACCGGTCTCCACTCTCTTGTTGTCGATACAGCCCTGGCTTTGGGAACCCCTGGCTTGGGAAAGGAGGGAAAAAGCAAAGAAGCTGAAAAAGAAAAAGACTCGATCGTTGGCGCCGTGCTTGGCGTCGGTCTGGATCGAACGGTTGGTCGTTGCAATTGGTCAACCCTTATTGGATTCAGCGAATAGGATGGTTTTTTTTTCTTTTTCTTTCGTCAAGTTGATCGATGATGGTTGCATGCAAACACGATGGCGGCTGACCACCTTCGACAATCTCCCAAATCTGAAATCTGACTCACCTGCCGGCTGCCGCCACATCCCGATGAGCACCACACGGGTCGCCGTCACTGTGATTTTTATTCATATTTTTATTGCGTCCTTTGCCGTGTTCCTGTCCCGGAAAGCCGGGATGGAGCAACACACAACAACCACTCGCCCTCGCTTCGCCGCCAAGAGGGCCCTGAGGCTAACTCGATTCGACCGCTCGGGGCGATCTGCCAATGTCACCTGCTAAATGCAGTAGTGATATCGAATAATCCCCAAAGCCTCTATAGGGGTGGAGAGTGCCGAGTGTGTGTGGGCGTGTGAGCCCGTGTATCCCGCCCAGCGATCAGGCAAAGTGAGAGAAAAGTGGACGGGGGATAGGCAAACGAGAAGAGGGGAAGATCAGACGAGGGAGGCAAGGCGCACCCTCCCCCTCCCCCAAACTCCCTATAATGGCCCGTTGCGTATGATAGGAGGAAAGGCCCGATACAGCGCTGGATTCAGGGATTGCCTCTCTAAACAAGGCTCTGCCGGGCATGACGACCGCCCTCTCCCCTCTCCCCTCTCTCCCTTCCCGTCTTTGAAATCCTTACATAACCGCCAAGGACGCCTACGTTCAGGGGAAAAGACAGCACCGTGGAATAAAGGATCGGAAAAAAAAAGGGGCCAGGTGGGATTCGGCCCGTTTCTTTCTATTCTTTTTTGTCTTTGCCCGCCGTCGGTCTTTGGCACGATTATGCATCAGATTGATAGGGACTGCCCCTTTATCTGCGTTTGGCGTTTTGCCGGCCGCCAAGACCGTACGTAGCATCTACCGTTTTCCGAGACTCCATCCATATGCCCCATCACCGCGAATACCACCCCGGTTGATCCTCACTCACACACTCTCGCTAGTACTGTACCTACCGACATCCCCGTCGTCACCCGTTTCTTTCTTTTGCTGGGAGGAACCATCCACCATACCCCCCCACCCCTTCCGACACGCCGAGCCTGGACACCTAGAATGAGGCTGTGCAAAAGGAACCCGTCGCTGTGTCGTTCCATCAGGCCCTGCGTCAGCCCCAAACAACAACCACCACACACCACACACACACACACACACACACACACACACACACACACACACACACACACACGCACACCTGTCACGCGCTAGCCGCCCGCCCGGCGGCGCACGTCGTTTACTTGACATCCCATCCCCGTCAGCCGCGGGTATCAGGCCTGCCAGGTGGAGGAGGAGGAGGAGGAGGAGGAGGAGGAGGAGGAGGAGGAGGAGGAGGAGGAGGAGGAGAAGGAGGAGAAGGAGGAGGAGAAGGAGGAGGGAAGGCCGGTCTGACATGCCCAGCCCACGCGCGACCCCCCGGCTCTCCATGCCGGCGGCTCCATATTGCCCCATGCGACCACATGGAACCACACTTCGTCGCCTTGTCGACGACGGCAACCACCCACCCCTCCCCTCCTCGATCTCAACTGTCGAAGCCAATATAGACACATCACATCACATATACCCCTCCCCCAACCCCAGCTTCCCGGACCGGCACCCTCACGACCCGTCGTCCAATCTTTCCACGATCGGCCGCTTTGCTTGCCCATCCCCCACCCCCGTTGACAAATGGTCTGATCTCTATGTACCCTTCCTCGATCATGTGTAACGGGTTCCATAACTTCCAGTTGTTTGCATGCCCAAAACATCATCAAAAGAAAGTACATGAAAAATGGACAGACAAAAAAAATAACCATAAACTGTACTGTCTCCGTGTGGACCTCTCTCCCCCTCTCCCCTCTCTCCTCTTTTTGACAAATACCACACTACCCAAGTCATGGCCATCCCGGCTGACCTGACTTGAAGCTTTCCCTTCACCAGTCTCTGTCTGCCCGGACCCTCCTCAAGCACTCTATCTGCCATCCATCGTCTGTGTCCCTGTTCCCAGTCCTCCTCGAACGCCTACCGTCCCCTCCGCCGCCGCCGCCGCCGCCACCACGATTCCCTCGCTCCCCACAAGATGCAACATCCGGGTTGGGTGTTCTGACCTCTTTTTACCTTTCCTCACTTTTTCTTTTTTCTTGGTTTTTGGAACATGTGGCCCAACCTAGCGCTTTGGGCGTTGTCACCATAAGGGTCTTTCATTTTTTTTCCCCTCGTCCGTCTGCCCCCCCATCTCGTACCCTTTCCCCTCCCCGCTCGTCCCTCGCCCGTATACCATTTCCCAATTTACCGGGGTTGGCACGCTCGACACGGACGCTTCACTGACAAAAGTCCCGCCGTGCCCCCGTACGGACTGCGACGATAAAGAGCCGACTTAAGATGCTATCTTTATTATCTGCAAAAGTTGGGTCTTGGCGACGTCCAACTAAAACCCAAAAGAAATGAGCGCCGCCATGTAGGTCGCATGCTTTGCAACCAGAGGGGGGCGTGTCAAGAAAGGGTCGAGAGAAACACTGGACCCAGGAGAGACGAATGTGGCAAAGAAATTCGAAAAAAAAACAACAAACTCCCGACCGTGAACCTGTGCCTTGAAACCATGCCATGTATGTGCTTGGGCGTTATCCCTTCAAAAGAAAATGGAATAGAAATCGTAATCTTAGTGCCGTCGCAGCGGCCCTTTTCGCCAATAGCTGAACCCTCCAAAACGTCATTGCCATCATGTAGGTTAAAGAAGAAAAAAAAAGAGTTGGCGGCATGTCCAAACCCGTTTCCGCCCGGGCCCGCCGTTTGACACGTTCCCGCCACCGACCCGGCTCGGACGAGACATGAACCCAACCTTAAGGTCTAAAGACCAGACGACCCAAGAGGCTCAACGGGTGTCAAAGCCCTTGGTTTCCCAAACGTAAAATCACGTCAAAAACGTCATGGCAGGGAAGGGGGCACCTCACGACGACCGTGTCCCCCGTATCCATGACCTGGCGCTGCGCAGGAATCTTGGCTGCTGCGGCCGCTGCTTCTTCTGGCCCTCGCCGGATGCTACCCCGCCGCCACCTTCGCTGACGGCCCCGGGACTCGGCGACCCCACGTCTCCGGTGCTCTGGAAGCCCGGGTCGTCTCGTAGCCGCTCACCCTTGGGGCCGATCTCGTCGTAGTCCTCCTCGCCCGCCACCTGCTTGTGCTTGTGCTGGGACTGGTGTGGCGGCTGCTGTTGGTGTTGTGGCTGCTGATGGTATTCATCGCCAGCCATCTTGCCCGAGAAGCTGCTCCCCATGTAGTCCGGGCCCGGTGGCGGCGCCACACCCGCCTCCCGCATCTTCTCCATCGCCCGGCTCAGCGGGCCGACAAGGGGCCCCTGTGACACATCAAAGTTGTCTCTCTTCTTGTCGCCGTCCCACGATGCAGTTCCTGGTGCTGGCGGCGGCTGTTGGCCGAGAGATTGGTAGTATACATCAGGGAAGCACTTCTTGAACTCTGTCAAGAGGTTCTCTTGGGCCTCCTCAATTGATCGTAGTCGCACTGCTTGCTTGGCCGGTACCAAATTTGTCGAAGGGACCTGAGCCTCATTGTCGACCATCTGCAGCCACTCGTCGTACTGCTGCTGAGCGTCCACCACTTGTTCCTGTGTTGGAAGTGATGTGTTAGCACGCGGTCTTGGGCACGCGATGTGATGTGTGTGTGTGTGTGTGTGTGTGTGTGTGTGTGTGTTGACTTACTGGCGTCAGGGGAGTCGACTTCTCCAGACTGTCGAGATATTCTTGGGCCGGCTTGGACGTCTTTGCCCCGACAATGTACTTGTCGTATGATACCGAGAACTCCCTAAACGGCCCTTTCAGAACGAAGCCTTTACCCATCCATCCCCGCTGCCTAAACCTCTCCAAAAGGGCGTCGGCAGTTGGGCACTCCCAAGTGAACTCTACCGCACGGTCGTAAAAGACAATACACTTGGTCGACGACCACTCGGCAAAGCTCCTGCGGCTGCCCTCGTCCGCGAACGCGCGCTCTATCATATCCATGGGTGAGTGCTGGATGAATACGCAGGGCACCCGCAGGTTGGCGGCCTGATGGATGTGGGCTTTCTCGAAATCCGAGTGTGGCCGGAGATCTATCAGCAGGATATTTGAGGGGTAGATCTCAAGAAGCCTGTTGAGGTGCCCGGGCAGGATCATGCGAGCACTATCGTGCAGGTCCCGTGTGCTGTCGTCGCCACCGAGATCCCGAAGGCTGTGTGCGGTGCGTTCCTGCTGATGACGGTGGTAGTACCACAGCTAAAGTCATATCCGTTAGCAAACACGTAAAGCTGTGATATGGCGCGCATCTGGCTGACAACTATGCACTTACGTTGACGTCGGCTGTTCGGATACCCAAATTGGAGGCATAAATCTCTGTTACGGCCACGTTCGGGTCCGGGTCCTGCTGGAAGTACTCCTCAAGGCGAGCCGCGACGTGCTGGCTTAGCTTGGGCGGCTCGGGCACGGTGTTGTCAGACTGGAAAACAGGCCACTTCTGGCTCTTGGAGTGGTTGACTATCGCCGTCCACCTTCCATTGTGGTCCTTGTCCTCTTCTATGCGATCATCGATGGACGGGCTCGGACTTATCGCCGAATCGCCCGAAGTGCTCGAGTAGACTCTGGCTGTCATGCTAGACTCGGCTGCGCGTGCCACGGTTGGGTCGTGGGCGTTTTGTGGTCTATCACCTCCTGATTGGGCCAGGGGTACAGTCTCTGGCTCAAGGGTGGTTCCTGAGAAGATGGAGCCGCCGTCACCGCCAATCTCGTCAACATGGCGAGCCGTAGCAGTCGTTTCTGCGACCATGGGTGGCTCGGAGCTTGTATTCTTGATCAGGTTATTTGACCTGATGAAGGCCACAAATGAGCAAGCGGGGTCCTCAGGCAGGAGATCCCAGATCATGACGGGCAGTGACAGTAGAAGAAGTGTCGAGTGGCTCTTGAAGACGCCCTGGACTTTGACGTGCCTGGCCAGGGCGGGGAAGCTGGCCAGCCACTGCTCCCAGGCGTCAAGGTCGAGCTGTTGATTGTCCTCCAGGGCTAGTGATATCATGACATGAGGCTTGTCCTCGGTCGGTTCTGTGTTGACCACCTCGCCCGGACCTCGGCCGGTGCCGATCGGGGCCATGGGCAGAGGCATTGTTGTGTTGGCTTCTTCGGGAGGTGATGGTGGCCGCCTGCTGTCGGGAATAATGCGGCCTAGCTCGATACTGGGCGCTTTGTGGTTGGAGGTCATCATGAAGTGTACTGGCGTCGACCGGGCCTCAAAGTGCTTCCCGTTGATGGTGATGGGCCTGGGATGCTTCAGACGCGCGAGAACCTCGGCATGCAGCATGGCAGCTGAATATGTTCTCAGTTTCCACTGCTGGAGCACCTCGATGAGGGCGTTGGTGAACGAGTATCGCCCCGGGTCGGGTGCTATGGCGTCCCAACTTGAGGCCGATATTGTCTCGGTGATGCTCTTGCCGTTGGGGAAAGTAGCACTTGCAGCACCAGCACAACAGTCCAATAATATCAACGTGTCCGACATGGAGCGCTCCAGCAGTGTCTGAATGGCAGACCATCTGGTTACCGTGGTGTGGGCGACGGTTAGTATTGCTCAGCGGCACACTGCGGTTAGCACGTATTGGGCGGGGAACATACTGTAGCCATGGCGATGCGGAATGGCGAGTTCTACGATGCGTCAGTTGTCTGTGCGACATTGGACGAGTTAGGTTTCTGGCCAAGGGATCGTCCAACTTACGCGCACCACGTGCTCTGGCGGGATTCGTCTATCCTGGCATGGCCGCCGTAGTAGACGATAAAAAGAGTGTCGGTGGCCTCATGTTCTTTGATCAAGGCGCCCACCTTGAGCATCAGCTCCAGATGAGAGTTTTCAGACGGGATGGCAAAGACATCCGTCTCGTAGCCGTAGTCTTCTCGCATGCACTGCTCAAGGTCCTCGAGCTCGGGCAGCACGAAGAGGTCATCCGACATCCAATGAAGCAGCAATACCTGAACCTTGGTGTAGCGCTGCAGCGAGCGCCCCCTATTAGGAAATGCGCGGCTGGCAGACTGCGGGTTCTATCGTGTCAGCCTTGCCTAGTCACACGTGCTGGGGTGGGCTGGTGGTCGCCAGACTGGAGGAAGCACGGTAAGAGCCATGACAGAAATGGGCACGTGAGACGCACGTCTTCAAGACTTTTCGCAAACATCTCGAGATGTTTGACATGATAGTTAACGCGGCTGATGTCATGTGTTGCCGACGGCGCGCCCGACGAGTCTCCGGCGCCCGAGCCGTACTGCAGAGAGGCCTTGTAAGCACGGGTCCGTGTCTCTAGGATCGCGGGGCGGAAGACGCACTGCAGAGTCGGCGCTGCTCATGCTGGCACCGTCACCTCGCGGGCCCCTAGATACGAGAGTGAGATAGGGGGCCTGCTGGTGGTGCTGGCTGTCCATGGCTCTGCGCGCCATGTCGCTGTCGTCGTTGTCGCCTCCGAGAACAGAAGGGCGGAGGCGGGGTGGCTTGATCCCCGGGGCTGACAGATGGCTCACTGCATCTCTGGTTGGCTGGATGGCCGTGTTTGGTTTCAAGGCCGGCTGTGTTTCTACTAGCACGGCCAGTGTTGTGCTGCCAAGGGTGCTCCTGGCAGTAAAAGGGAGAATTTCGAGAGTGAGGGCACCGTCGGAGAGAGTGAAGATTGGGATTGAAAGCGACGGGGACGAGAAGCGAAAAGGCAGTAGGCGGTAGGTAGCAACAGAGCGAGTAAGAATCACACAATAGCGGCCTCAATTGCTCATGCCCGCGTATTGGCAACTGCCTGTCGGCTCTAACCACAGACGAGGGAGGTGGCACACTCGGTCTCGAATTAGGCTTAGCGCCATCCTGCGCGGTGTCGAAACGGGAACGACTTCCGCTTGGGGCTGTGGGGCGGCGGTACCTCCCTGGGGTGCCTCGGTAGGTGCGACCCAAGGTATCTGACAGAGGTACACTACCTCGCACCCAGCGAGTCTCGGCTTTACCCAGCACCAACCACGTCTAGTTTTCGGGCACTTGGCTGTCGATCCCGCCTTGGGCCGCCTCCTCGAAATGGTAGGTAGCTGTTGTTCCCAAATTACATGCAGCTTGACATATTGGCCATGTTGCGTTCGCGATTGGCATGGTGATATCTTGCGACAGATGGAGGACAGTGATAGGCACGCCTACTGTACACACGTACCAGAGGGGCGGGCGGGGCAGGTCTCGATGGCGACGAGTGGCGGTTCGTGCTCCAGTTAATGCATTAAATTTGGCCGCTGAACCGCGTGGCTGTACGGCCTCAATCGTTGAAGTCTGCGTGCACCGTGCTCCGCAAGCTCACTTCCACTAAAAAAGCACTGTCGGAGCAGCTGGAACCCGCAAAACGTCAGGTTGCCCAATGCGGCAACCGACTTCACCGAGCAGCCACCCAAGGTAAAGCTATCTCGGCGTGGACACGACTGACCGACTGATGCTTGCTCGATTGATGCCTGCCTGTGACCTCAGCACGGGCTCTTGGACCTGATCCATCCGCGCTCGCACATCCCCTCCTCCGCCCCCAAGCGGCCTCGTCCCTCACCCCCCCCCCAAAACCACCTCCCTAAAATGAGGCAGCGTGTCACCTTCCTCCACCGTCCCGGGGACGCGGTGGATCCCTCGACACTCCGCATCACCGACACCAGCCTAACGGGCCCCCAGGACGCCCGGGCCGCCCGCGAGGTCCGCACCACCCTCGCCCTGGACGAGCTACCCGCCGAGCTGGCCAGCGTCCTCAAGACGTCACATGAGCTGCATGTGAGATGGGTCTCCCCCGACGCCTTCGACACCGTCGCCCCTCTACACTCGAGGCTGTCACCGGGCTTCCACCTGTTCTTCACCCCCAGGCAAGGGGGAGATGTCTCTGAATCGTCAGTGTGCTGTCGTCCTTGATCCGTCCACCCGCGGGCTGTCGATCGATCCCGTGCTAATATGCACCACCAACCGCCAGGGAAGCCCTGTGCCGCCTCCTCCGCAAGGCGTTCGGGGGCCTGGAGAACTGCGTGTCCTCGGAGGAGTCCTTCGTCGCCCTCTCGCCGGACCGCTTCTCCCACTCGGCCGCCTTCCAGTTCTACCAGCCCCTACACAACCTGACGCACTTTGCTCGCCACGTGGGCGATGAGCTCTGCCCGCAGGGCGACCCGCTGTGCCGCGCGCAGGCCGCGCGCCTGACCGAGGCCGTCTCGCTGGACCTGTCGTACGACACCATCTCGCACGCCCTCAAGGTCACGGCCCTGTCGCCGTACCAGGCCCAGCCGCTGCTCGTGACGGGCCACCCGGGCCACCGCACCGAGGTCGGCCTGCTGGGCGAGGACGCGCTCCCCAACGTCGAGGGCCACGAGGTCGGCCTCTCGGGCCACCTCGTCTTCCTCGGCCAGCACAAGGAGCCGTCCGTGACCGCCTTTGGCGTCCCCTCGCGCCACCGGCGCCACCACCACCCGGACGCGACCTTCTCAGTCTCCATTGTCCAGCCCGCCGGCCTGCACCCCACCCTCCGGCTGACCCTGTCCCCCGCCGCCGCGCGCCCGCCGCTGCCGCCGGTCGGGGAAGGGGCGGCGGCCTCTTCCTCGTGCGCCCCGCACGCCTACCTGGTGCTCCCGCGCTCCGTCTTCGCGGACCGCTACCAGCTCTCGGATCCGCTCTTCCTCGCGTCCAAGAACCTCACCGCCCTCCGCCATGCCTCAGGCCCCGTCGACCTCGAGGCCCCCGAGTACGCCATCGGCCACTGGGGCTCTACCGCCCTCCTGGAGCTGGCCGCGCCGCCGCCGCAGTCGGGTTCGCAGTCCGAGTGGACAGTCCAGGTCCCGCTGCACCTGCGCTACCTCGCCCCGGCCGCCCGCGGCCATCGCGACGTCCAGCTACCGCACCCCGTCGTCTTCTGGGCCTGCGCCGCCGAGGACGGCACAAGGTTCCCCACCAACCCCTTCGACCGCGTCAACCTCGGCTACGACGGCCTCTTCGGGCCCCGTACCGTCTTCTGGCACGTCGACCCGAGCCCGCCGCACTCGCGCCTCTTCACCACCATCGACGTCCCCGTGCTCGACCTGGACAAGGCCGACTGGGTCGCCCCCGGCACCGCCGCCGTCGTGCTGCTGGGCTTCGCCTGGGTCGTCTGGAAGCTCGTGGCTGTTGCTGTGCGTGGCCGCGGCGCTTCGGGGGTGTCCGGGCCGAGCGTGGCCGAAAGCAAGAAGACAAAGTAGCTCATAATTTCCGCATGCAGAGTGTGGTTGACCGAAGCCGCCTGCTGAAGGTCCATATAGTTCATAATGAAAAGCATCGGCTTGAGTTGCTATATATCCAATACCCCATGTTCCCTCAGCCTCGCCCCTATTCACGCAAAGTCTATACGCCATATCTTGATACAAGAGCTGGAAACTACATGATGCAGCCTGGAAAGTGCTCTATCCCGGCTCTATGGCCTAGCCTTTTGTTCCTTTTTTTTTTCATGTTTTTTTTCGGCCTTGTTTCATACATTTTGATGGTATATATCACCCCCCAGGTCTCTCTGCCAGCCTACCACCTAACTACAAGGCAGGAGCTGATTAGAAGGCAAAGACCTGGTCCTCCAGCTTGCTGACGGGGCGGGCCTTCTTGAAGCCGAGGCTCTCCGTGGCCTTCTTCAGCCCGCCAATCATGGGAGGTGGGCCGCAGAGCAGGATCTTGACATCGTCGGCGGGCTTGGGAAGGTATTTCTGCACATTGACAACAACAGTTCCCGATTAGCAACCCATTTCGGCACGACGGCTGCAACATGTCACCAAGCAATAAAGAATCCCGAGCTTACCGTGATCATGTCGGTCGTGACGTAGCCGACCTCGCCGGTCCAGCCCTCGGGGGGCTTGTCGAGGGCGTAGTGGACCCTGAAGCCCTTGTCCTCGGCGGCGAGGGCGTCGAGGTCCTCCCTGAGTAGGATGTCCTGCTGCGTGACGTTTGCAAAGATGAGGTCGACCTGGGTCCGGTCGCCCTGGGCGCGGCCGCGCACGATGGCGCGGATGACCTGCAGCATGGGCGTGATTCCCGTGCCGCCGGCGATCATGCCAAAGTGGCGCACCATGTTGGGGGTGTAGACGAAGGCGCCCTTGGGCCCGCGCACGCGGATGGTCTGGCCGACGGCCAGGCTGGCCATGTGGCGGCTGATGTTGCCCGTGGGGTACGACTTGATGAGCAGGTCGAAGTAGCCGGGCTGCTCGTCGCCGCTGACGGGCGTGTAGGACCGCACAATCTCCTTGGAGCTGCCGTCGGGCTGCGCGATGGCCGCGCCGATGGAGATGTGCTGGCCGATGGGGAGGCCGAGGAGCGAGTTGGCGCGGGGCAGCTGGAAGCGGTAGCTGGACCGGAGGTTTCCCCATGTTAGCCGCGTGCCATACTCCCGGGAGAGAGGGCAGCTTGGGGGGACGGCAGAGGCGCTCTCTTACATGGCGACATTGTGCGAAATAACCGTCTTCTCCTTGAGCTCAAACTCCTGGAAGACCTCGGGGTTGAGCGCCTTCTTGGGCTCTGCGGCGGCATGCTGGTCAGCTCTGGTCTGCGCACACAAAGGCCCTTACAACAAGCGGAAGGCGACCTACGCAGCCTGATGAACTTCCAGGTCCCGAGCACAAGGGCAATGACGACGCTGTAGAGCGCCCAGTCCCGCTTCATGATCATGGTGCCCACGACGAGGAGCCCCACGGGGATGTAAATCCCATCGATGTAGGTCTTGGACGTCAGCGGTTCCGACATTTTTGCTTACGTCTTTCTGTCGACGTCTGAGCTTGCTCTGTCCCGACGGCACCCCCGGACACTTTATAGCAGTGTCTCGATCGCTTTCGGGTGGATGCTTCGGATCGCGCTCTGAAAGGCGACGTGGATTTTACAGCAAAGGCAAAATTGCGTTCCCGCCAAAATTCGGTGCTGCCACGAGGCGGTTCAGGGGATGTTGAGTGCAGGAGCCACACCGCATGGGGCCAATTCTGTGGTGGGCTGATCGAGTGTCCCGTTCTTCGGAGAGCTGACACAGGTCGAGGTCGCCGAGCTCCCCCACCTTGATTTTAAGCTCTAGACTGGCTGGGCCCAGGCGATGGATTTGGAGGGAAGACGTCAGTCAATTTGGCACGTTGACAATGCCAACACTACTGGTAGATCTTGTAATTAATCATTGCATGTCCAGAGCAGTTGGCCTTCAATCTACTTGATTGAATGGAGGCCATCCATGTGTGTGCATCATGACAGTAGCTCAGTACTTCTTCATCAGACCAGGGGCAACCCCGTGTCATTGGACACGTCAAGTGCTGGGACGGGCCGGGTGTTGCTCAAGTGTTCGTCAGCCCGATTTCCAGCAACGTGGTCGATGCATGTGGCTTGGCGGGAGCCGTTAAAAGGTGCCCACCCAACTCCGACTGCCGGACTCGGACTGCTCTATGCAACCCGACCATTCGAGGTTGCCGCAAATTTGACCGCCCTTCACCAACAAACCCTCGCGAAACTCATGATCCTTGCTAGAAACCACATAGTTGCGCTGCTCCACTGCCTTGAACCGCAAGTATGGGCGATCCCGGCGTGGCAATCCCCATCGAAGACTCCCCCTTCCCCCTGACCGACATCGACAAATGGGTTCTGTCACAGACCGACGAGGAGTTCAAGTACCATGATTGGGACGAGCTGAGAGAAATCATTGGTAAGTCGACGCGAGACACAGACACGAGCTGAGATGTTTTTTGT